AGTTAATATATCAAAATCAAAAAAGGCAAAAACTTTTCTCTTACGTATCACTATGAACAAAGAAACAATCAATTAATGAAAGCACAACCTAGACAACAGGAGAAAATAGTTGTAAACTATATACCTGACAAGAGGTTAATACTCAAAATAATACTGGAAACTCATACAACTCAGTAGAAAAATGAAAGAAATGATTCATTCTAAAATGGACAAATTACATTTTTTCAAAAATGGTCAGTGGAATGGTGCTTATTACTAAACATCAGAAAAATGCAAATCAAGACCACAATGAGTCACTCCTGTTGGGATTGCTATTATCAAAAAGACAAGAGATATTTTTCATTGATGTCTAAACGGAATAAAACCCTTCACTGAAGCCATATTCTTGATAATATCAGAATATCATCATTTACCATTAATTTTATGCCAACAATTAAATGGGATAAATATTGGTGACTTCACCACTTCTTGACATAATAGTTTCATATAGTAATTCCTCTTGTTCAGGATAAATTTGTTTTCTTTGCTTTTCCCACCATTAAAAGTTTTTCTGAATAGGAAAAAAACCCACAAGAGATAACAAGTGTTAGTAACAATGTGGAAAAAGGGACAACTTTGTGCACTGTTGATGAAAATGTTTATTGGTATAGCACTATGAAAAAAAAAAAAAAACTATGGATGTTCCTCAGCAATTTAAAAATAGATCTATCATATGATCCAGCAATCCCAGTTCTGGGATTATATCCAAATGAAATGCAATCACTATGTTAAAGAGCTATTCAAACTCCCATATTCATTGCAGCATTATTCACAATAGCCAAAACAAGGAAACAACCTAAGTGTCCATGGAGGGATGAAAGGATAAAGGAAAAAAAAATGTTTGTATGGAATAAGAAGAGGTAAATCCTGTTATTTGCAGCAACGTGTATGGCCTTGAAAGATTCTGTTAATTGAGATAAGTCAGACAAAGACAAGAAATGAATGGTATTTTTTTTATTGCTATAATCTTAAAAAGCTGAATGCTTAGAAAGAGTGAATAGAATTATTTTTGCCTGGGCTAAGGAGTGGGGGAAAAAGCAACCAACTTACAGTTATAAGATGAATAAGTTACAGTGAGTTAATACACAGCATGGTGACAATTTGAATCATATACTTAAGAGTTGCCAAGAAAGCAGATCTTAAGTGTTCTCACTCAAAAAAGGACAATTATGTGAGTAGATGGGTTGACTAACCTTATTGTGCTAATCATTTCACAATATATGTATATCAAATCATTATGTTTTACTTTTCAAATTTTTCTGATAGTTTTTAGGTTAAATCGATGTCTGTATCCCTTTAACATTACTCCAGTTGTCTTTCAGACATGACAAGATAACCCAGGTACATTTTATTTTAATATTTCCTGCACATATCTGGAATCAGGCATTCCTTTACAGATCCTGTTTTACTCTTTAAAAGAAAAATAGTAATTCAGGACCACAATCTGAACACTAAATCATTACATTTAGGTCATTTTAGTGAACTAGACTAGAAAATATATAAAAAATGAAAGATTTATGAGATCTGAAGAGAAACCAGAATATGGGACTAGAAAATATTTAGGAAGGAAATAAGTCATTAATTTTTGATTTTCTATTTGTAACACATTTTCTTACTGTGAAAAAACTTGGTTTCCAAAAACCCTAATATCATTGTTTATTTGATTTTACCCCAATACACACACATAGACATTAATATTACATATATAAACTTATAAACTATTGCAGTGGCTTCAAAGAAAGAAGAAAGATTTTTGTTCTTGGCCTCCAAAGAAAGAAAAAAAAAAAAGATTCTACAACAGGTCTGTGAAGAACAAAGGATTCATTGGACTGCCTTTGAAGGAGAAGAAATTCATTCTTCTCCTGACATTTGAAAAGAGGAGTTGTTGGACCACCTTTGAAGAAGTCAACAGCTGGTCTTTGAAGAGAAAGCATTCATCGTACTACCTTCAAAGAAGGATTTGACAGACAGCCTCTGAAGAGAGAGAAGCATCAAGTACCTCTATGGGATCCAGTGGACTTCCAGACCTCCAGCACACTAGACCTCAGTAGACCTTCACAAGCCATTGCAGAGACTCAGCTACTACATCTGTCTGTGACCCTGTGCCTAATATTGCATGCAAGGAGCACTTTGTGGCTTGGCCTAGTATCTCAAAGAGCTGACCACAGTCTATGGTTCTCAGGCAACATTTACTGTTGCTGTTGAGTCTGTAGCTGTCTGGGCTGGCATCCAGCAGCGGCTTCAGATTGCTGCTGTGGGGTACTGCAGTGTCACCTCATCTTCCACAAGCAGCCTTTGCTTGGGACTTCTGGACACTATGGACACTATTTGGGGGTGAGACAACTGGCCATTTCTGAACTTAGAAACTTTCCTTTCCCCCAATCTCCTCTTTGTTAAATAAACCCAGTGGTTATTGGAACTTCAGCCTGAGTGGTCTGGCAATTGTGCACGTGGGTAAGAATCCCACTGATAGTGACCTGTTTCCCCACATTGGCACTACCTCTTAGCACTGTCTGAAATCTGTTTTAAGTGTCTTTTTTGGTCCTGTTTCAGAAGCAGAACCTCTTGTTTTTCTACTACTTACTACAGGATCTGTTGATCTGGGCAGTAAAGTTTGTAGGGATTGAAGTCCCTAACCTCCAGTTTTGGGAATGGGGGTGGCATAATCTTTCTCACATTTGTGTAATAATTCTAGAGACCTGTGTACCCAAATCTGCAACTTCTGTTGTCTGTTTCCTGGTCTGGCAGTTAGCAGCAGTGATGGCAGCCACTACTGTTTACTCCACCCATGCTGTAATTTTGATTCTGCCCTCCCTCCAGTAACACTGCCTAGACAGCTGGCTTTTTGGCCATCCACCTTTAATAAGCAGGTGTGTGGGTAATCAGAAGTCCTCCAGTGACAAGTTGGTATGAGAAGTATAGATTTTAAACTGTTTATGGAAAATCTTAGGGATATAAGCTAAATTTTGGCTATAAGAAATAGAATCCCTGTCTTAGGTTGACTTAATGCTAACCAATGTTTATTGAGCACTTGCAACATTACCAACACTTACAAAAAAAAAAAAAAAACCAACCTTATTTAATCTTTATATTATCTCTATCAGGAAACTGTAGGGAAGCATATTAGACATACAAGAAGTTCAAAAAGGCAGTGAGCTCTATATTTAGAATGATATTGTTTTCACTCATTCAGCTGTCCTCAGAATAGCTTTATTTCCTTCTGCCATGGCAGTCTGGGCTAGATGTTTCCATTTCAAGAAAACAATGTGGTAGAACTTTCTCATAAGCATGAAATGGTCCTTTTGTTTAGTCTGATTGAATTAACTTATTTGCTCATCCCCTGGCCAATAATCTTTCCTAGCAGAATTCTGTATTATGACAGGCTTAGATTTTATCAGTATCATTTCCTGGTGCTGGGAATAGGATGACTATTTAAATAAATTAGGGGGTTTCGTTACAAAGGGGGAAGCGGGTGATACCGGGATTGTCAGGCCTAGTCTCCCAGCCAGGAACGGAGCCCAGGCTGCAGGGGCAGCGCTGAGCCCCAGCCACTAGACTCCCACGGGTTGGTGTCTCATGAAGCCGCAGCCGGAACTTTGCAGACTCTCAGGCAAGCAAGCGAGAAGAGGCAGGTTTGTTTTGAGAAAGAAAAAGTTTATTGAGGAGAAAAGGAACAATAATAAAGTGGGACTCCCAGGCCAGGAAACCCAGCCTGGGAGGTGCAAGGAAGCCAAAGTGGAGTTATGTCTCAGGGAATATATACCTTTTTTCCCTCATTATTCTAAAACTCCACCAGGCTCTTTGTGATTGCTTAGTTCCCGGCTGTCTCACTTTCTCACTTAATTTGCTACTGAGTGGGGGATCTTCACATTCCTTATCTAACAGCTTTCTCTTTCCCCATTTGTTGCATCTTTAAATTTATGGCCCAGTCTTCTGGATGGGCATCCCTGCATTGAAGTTAAACAGCTGCCCTTCTAAGTTGTCCATAAATTAAACCACTCTCCATTTCCCCAATCTCTACCTCCCTTTGACACTTGAAGGAAACCAAGGCCAGCGTTAACAATGTTTTCCTTGGTCCTGGGATGTTTGTTTTTCCAGGTGGAATTGGTTACACTCCGCTTGCTGCCCTTATGTCTGAAGCCTTCCTCAACTCTCCGAGGTCCCCTCTTGCAGTGTCCCTAAAACTGCCTAATTCCTAGCTTGCCCTGTGTCTCACGGGGAATAGATGTAAAGTAGATACATACAGAATTACTCACTACAGAGTAGTTTTTAAACCTATATTAACATTTAGATAAAACTTTAACAGATTTAATTACAGAAATCTAAATTTGGAATTTTCAAACAAATGGTCTGAAAAGCCTCCTGCCTTTTTTAATAGTTCATCTAGTCTGTGAAATATCAAGCTTGACATAAAGAACTGCAATCTTAATCTGTCTTTGGAAATTTAAGAATACTCTGTGCTGGCTCTATGAAGACTACTAGAGGATGCTTTTTAAAATTTCTTCTGATGTAACGCCGACAGAATGATGACAGTAACAGCTAACGTTCACTACGCACTTAGAGCGCAGGCACTACTTTTGTCCTGAGACAAGGAAGGGACCCGGGACCCCTCGGCCCAATTCCACCCTCAACCAAAAGGCGCAACATGCTCTGTGATTTCGTTTCCTTGGAGTCAGCCTAGGGGCCGCGCGGGGCACTCTGAGCTAGTGGTATACATTTCCTGGGCGGTGCTGCTGGGCAGAATGTACCTCGGGCACTACCGGAAGGCAGAGACCTAAAAGCCGTGATTTGAGGAGCAAACCTTTTCCCCGCCAAAGTCTGAGCGCCCCGGAGCAACACAACACCTCGCGCGACCCTCTCAGCCTCCGCCCTCCCCCGGAGGCGCGCTCTGGCCAGCGGCTTCCGCTTCACAACGCTCTAGCCCGCGAAGCTGGCGGCGCCGGAAGTCTCCACTGCTCCTCATTGGGCGCGTCCGCCGGGGGCTGCTACCGCCTCCTGCGCCCGGAAGGACGCCCCTGCCTTGCGCCGCGCGCTGCTTCACTCCCGGACAGGTTAGGTTGCTCGGGGAGGAAAGGCCCGCGTGTCTTCTACTCTCAGAATCCTGTAGTCCCGCAGAAGGGGTGCCTGATTTCGCGTGCGGGGTGGGCTGCTGCAAAGGGTCTCCTCCGAGGTCACGGCGCCTCTCGTGGTGTCTGGGTCGCCCCGCCCCGCACTGCATGGCTGCTTTGGCGTCTAAAGCGGTCCCTGAGCGTGGGATCCTACAGAGTGCCCCCGGGGTTACCGGGCTCGGTGTAGCGAACCGTGGCCTCGTCTGGCAGTCCTTGCTGTACCTTTTCAGAAGCATATTCGTAAGAGTTGGGATCTTTTCATAGAGGTAAAAGCGGGCACTCTGTTGGTGTTACTAAGTTGCACTCTTGAGAGGACCCCGCCCCAGGTAATTGGAGAAAAGAACTTTTTATAGCTCAGTGGTCATGTTAGGGGGAAAAGGATGTCCCAAAGCTAATTCCATATAGGCGTTGTGGACTCCACCCCCACCCCAGGTCAAAGCCAAAAACACTGGGAACTCCATATCCCATCACCACCAAAGGGAAGGTGGCTGGGACCTGAGGGTGGGGTTAAGCAGCCAGGTGGATAGAAAAGGCAGACACGTGGGCTTTGGGGAGCCCCCATTTTTGGCATAGTGAGTTTTGTCCTCATCACAGATGAATTCCATACAGAAGCTGACGAGAGATGATTTTCATTGTGAGAGACGGTGCATGTATGTGTGTATGTGAGTGTGCGCTGTACCATAATTTCAAAAATCCGTATTTGTATATTTTAATAACTTCTCTCCATTCTCACTTCAAGGGATCTGCTTCTAAGATACTGTTTCTCTTCTTCACTTTTGACTAGTGTTAGTAACTCTCTTAACATTTGCCTTTTAAAATACATAACCTGATTGTGTTACTCCTTTGTTCAAAATTTTACTGTCTTCCCATCGATTCAGGATAGTGCAAATTCCTTAGTGTCTTCAAGACCCCACTTCTTGATTCCCGCTGATTTTTTTAGTTTCATCCCCTTTAATGGAAAAGGCACGTACACTTACACCTATGCTTGCTTCTGCCGTGCCAACCTGCCCTAATTTAATCTCTTTGGATATGATAGTTTTATAATGCTGTACTCATATTCTGAAATTTATTTTTCCTTTTAATAAGAATGTTTTGGATTCCTAATGTTGCCAGTCGCTGTTTCAGGAACTGAGGAAATAATGGGGAAAAGGTAAGATATACAGTCCTATTTCACATACCATATAATTTACCCAGGGACATTGATTGCAATACAGTCACAATGTTATGGCAGAATTAGGGAACCAGGCAGCACTCAGAGAGGAGGGAAAGCCTTTACGCAGGTGGGCCCAGAGGAGATCTTTCTCCAAAAGCAGGAAATTCCTAAGCAGTTATCTGGGGTGCATAAGTTAGGAGTGTGGCCTTGAGAACGGTTATCAGTTACTCCCTGGAACTTTCAGTCTACATTGAAGTTTTGTCTCAGCATAACTTCAGCTAATTAATAGGTCAGCCTGACATTTTCCACTTCAACATTGTGCAGTCATCACCACAATCAACTTAAAATATTTCATTACCCTCCCCCCCCCCCAAGCCCTGTACCTGTTAGCATTCTGTTTTGATTTCCCTCTACATCACAATAGTGTGGCTCAACCAACTCTTAGAAAACTAAGATCTCTTAATACCAAGATGACATAAAGACTAAGCCCCCACTTGACTTTTTATTCCTTAGATTTTAGAGGAAGACAAAATACAGTCTCATAAAAATGATTTTAAAAGACATCTTTTACAGTTACTAGTGTCAAAGCTCAATATTGATTCCTAGTTTTTGGTTAGTAGATTGTTACCTTTCGTCAGCCCAGCTCCCTCTACAACATCTCATAAACTCTCTGTTTAATATTCCTTCATTGCTATTATAGTCCATATACCATAATAATCATCAAATGTATTAATGGGGAGAGATGGGAGAACCATGGTGTAAATGTGATTTTTTGCTCACATTTTGGGTTCATTTGTCATTTGGGCACTCACTTCTTGTGGGCTCTTAGCACCTTGTGGCATTTTGGCATTGACAAAATGCATTGAATTTGGATACTCCAGACTCTTGGAACTTTAGCATAACTTAAATGTGACTTCTCTAGCATCCAGAAAATACCAAGATGGCATAAAGACTAAGCCCCCAACTTCACCTGTTTATTCCCTTAGATTTTAGAGGAAAACAAAATACAGTCTCATAGAAATGCCTTAAAAAAGACACCTTTTGCAGTTACTAGAGTCAAAGTTGAGTAATGATTCCTAATTTTTGGTTTAGTATATTGTTAACTTGCATCTGTCCAATGCTAGGGTAAATAACAAGGTGATTTACTGTAAATTGGTCCCCTTTTGAAGCACTTCCAAGTCCTTATTTAAATATTTCAACACGTTTGTGTCAGATTAGAACCTAATCTTATTTGGACCTATTACCTGTGGGCTTTACATGATAAAAAGGTTGAATTCTATGTAAATACTTCCACATTTTTTTAAAAATGATTTTGCCCCCTTTCTATAAACATGGCAGTATTTTTATCTTGCTTTGTAAAAATTAGGTAAAAATTACAGGAAAATGACCATTTTGTCTTTTGGTTTACAATTCTTGAATTTTAACTTGTGTGTGTGTGTGTGTGTGTATATGTATGTATGTGTATGTGTAGTGACCACCACTGACTCCTTCATGGGCCTCCCTGGTGGCGCAAGGGGTTAAGTCTCAGCACTATGAAGTAATCCGTAGCCACCTTGCCAAGGAGCTACCCACATGGCACACCAGACCTCTCCTGTCTTGCCTGCTGCTCCCCTCAGCAGTGTATTTCAGTGGATCTGCCTGTTCTGCTCCCCAGTCTTGTCTCTAGTTAATCCTTTCACTCCCCCCCTCCCACTTCTGGCATGCACCCCAGCTCTTGTATGCATAAATAAACAAATCTTTAAAAAAAAAAAACTCCTTCATGCTATCCCTTTATGGTTACATCTTTTCCTAATACTAAAACGTGAATGTCATTTTATACTTTTTATTGTGGGAAACAGAAGTAATGCATCCTGTCTTTTCTCTTTACTAAAGGCTTTAGGTGTAATAGGCTAGAAAGGATAAAATCAATATAGTCACTTCGTTTTTTTTTTACAGAAAATCACAAACTGACACAAAGTTGATTATAAATAATATGTTTTTCTAGTGATGTCTTCCACAAGGTGGCAGTATTGTGATATAATAGGCCATTAATAAAGCTTGTGCCTTTTATCAGCTGGAAAATGATTGCTTTAAGTTTTTACTTCAGAAAAACAGGACAGTTAATTAAGAATTAACATTTAACTTTTGAATCTTTTTTTTTAAATTTATTCCAAAACCTGTCTAACTCTTGCAGTATTCTTAGCAAAGCAACCTATAAACATATCTTAATACTTTAATATTTATTTTCAAAAGTTTACAGAGTTATGAGTTAATTCTTAAGGTTAAGTTTTTTTTTAACGATTTATTTATGCATACAAGAGCTGGGGTACAGGCCACAGGTGTGTGGGGGTGTGTGAGAGGATTCACCAGAGACAGTGTGGGGAACAGAACAGATGGATTAACTGAAATACACTGCTGAGGGGAGCAGCAGGCGAGATAGGAGAGGTCTGCTAAAAAATTTACCTCCATTTTATTTTTCACACAAAATCCAATCAAAATTATAAAAACTAATCCTATCAATCTCCATTTCAAAACCATTATACTTAGAATGAACTTTTCCACTCCCCTGTGTAATCTGCTTTTTCTACTTATTGCTACTACCTCATATCCTAACCACTTTTCCCTTGTTCACTGTGCTCCATCCTTTCTGGTGTCCCGCTTGGTGGAGATGTGGAGAATAGATGCAGGTAAACCAGAGCAAATGGGCATTGTAGGTGAAGAAAAGATTCTTAGGACATTTTTCATAGTCATTAGAAACCATTACTTGCTTACATTTCAGTACCTCAAATTAAGTCTAGGTATAAGCCCACATCTGAGTATAGATTCATTGTGGGGAATAATTATGTTCCAACTGAGAAAGGAAATGTAACCCAGGCAGTCATTACCTGTAATATTCCAAGTGTGGATAATCCTTTATATTTGGTAGTTTTCACTTAGTGTGCCTAAAATGATTTTATTTTTGTAGTTTCATTCTTCTAGCATTTAATGCCGTAATGAATTAAGATGACAGATTGAGGGCCTCCCCGGTGGCACAACGGTTGAGCGCTGGGTTGCGAGGCTGCCCGCGGCCTCTGCAGTGCTGGTTCGATCCCCGGCTGCTCCCTGGCCACTGGAGGAGGGTCCCGCATGGCGCGCAGACCTCTCCTGCCGCCCGCTGCTCCCCTCAGCAGTGTACTTTGGTCCTTCTGCCTGCTCTGCTCCCTGCTCTGGCTCTGGTGAATTCTCTCACCCTCCCGTGCTTCTGACTGTTCCCAGTGCTTGTATAAAAACAAAGCAAACAAACAAACAAACAAATAAATAAATAAAACATGCCTCTATAAAAAAAAAAAAAAGATGACAGATTGATTCTTTTCTTGGTTCCTCTTGAAATCTCACTAACACTACATTGAAGACCTAAAAGGACAAGAACATTAGAAAGGGAAATAATAGCAACACAGTTTGTAATACTGAAAGCCAAGAATGAGTGGAAATTAAACACCCAAGATTCATGAATCCTAAGTTGACAGAGGGGAAACCTGAAAACAGTCTTAGTTACCTTGTAAAGTCCTCCAAAGTTGAAGAACTGGATGCCAGGTATTGCTGAGAGAGAAAATAAGGAAGATTGGGTGATTATTTCTGAGAAGCAACTTTCCCAATGGATGCTGTTTTACCTTGGGACAAATTCTATGGTTTGAAAGCAAATGATCTCTGGATAAAGTAGTACTTCCATTTAAGAAGGAATTCCTAGCATTTAAAATGCCAGGAAAAGAATTAAAATTCCTCTGAGATTTAATGCTCAGTAGTCAGTATTATTGGATACCTTTGGTTCTAAGATACCCTTGATATCAAGTAGAAAACAAGACCAGACTATACACACTGAGTAGAAAGTCGTAAAGAGATAGGAACATCTTGGAGGAAAGCATCATGATCTAATCAATAATACTTGTAGTTGTTGCCATATTATAAATACATTTTCATGCTCTGCTGCTAACAGTGAGTTATTAAAATAACTATTAAGAAGTTTATCTGGGCCTCCCCGGTGGCGCAGCAGTTGAGCGCTGGGTTGTGAAGCTGCCCGCAGCCTCTGCAGTGCCGGTTCAATCCCCTGCTGCTCCCCGGCCACCAGAGGAGGGTCCCACATGGTGCGTAGACCTCTCCTGCCCCCCGCTGCTCCCCTCAGCAGTGCACCACCGTCCTTCTGCCTGCTCTGCTCCCCACTCTGGCTCTGGTGAATTCTCTCACCCTCCCGCGCTTCTGACTGTACCCAGTGCTTGTATAAATAAATAAATAAATAAATAAATAAATAAATAAATAAATAATAAAAATTAAAAACAAAAAAATATATAAATAAACAAATAAATAAATATTTTTTTCCTCTTATCCTACTATCCATTTTATGCTGTAAAGCCAGACCAGAGCTCTGACTCTAGCTTCCACTATTAAAGAGTAAACTAACCTTCACTGTCTCTGTTCATACTCTCCACCAAAGCAAACACCTTCCCTCTGCCCCAGTGACGATTGCCCTTTCTCTCATCGAAACTCACTCTCATATGTTTCATTCACAATTGAGTAAAAATAATCCATATAACACATATCCGAGTATTTCTGTTTGATTTCCATAGGATTTCTATGGATATTGTGGTGAGATATGTGAATTGGTTAATGTTTGGCTGAACAATAATTCTTTTACTGAAGGACTTCTCAGTCTTCAAGTAGCTAATGGGTACTACAAAGAGGAACATATGCCAAGCAGTTGTTTCCATGCTTAATAGAATATGTGCCCCAAAAATAATCTATCTGAGAAAGAATTAAGTTATTTAAAATCTTACTCTTCAAAATGAAGTGCTGAGAACAGTTTGACTACTAAATATACTTTGGAAATTATTTCTTAATAGTATTGTCTGCTTTGTAAATATAAGTATCTCAAGACAAGTGAGAAACTTGAGGCATTAGTTAAAAATATTGGCTAGGAAAATATTTGAGGGGGAAAAAGTGGGAAATTTGGTCTCCCCCGTGACCTTGAATTTAGGTGAGTAAGC